GATATCGTCCTCTTTTGGAAGACCAAACAAAGTAGTTTCGCTTTCACAACGAAGCACACAGCGTCTTCACGACATGGCTGCAGCGTCAACAATACTACAGTGAGACTAAAAGTTACGCCTTCTTTCTTTGCGTGAACATTTGGGCGGCGTTATGCAAATCTTCCCACATAGTGACGTAGGTATGTGGGGGTGTGTTAGAACGAGCCGTTTTAGGTAGGTGTGGCTGACTCTGAACTTTTATAAAGAATATCTCTTTGGATTTGAGACTTTAGTCTTTGCAACTTTACAGATCTTCTTTATGCACCAAGAGCTTGTAACACTCCAAAGAGAAAGGAAAAATTGAAATCGCATCATATGACCCCTTTAAGGGAGTTATATTGTAAGATGGACCCAGAAATCTTTTCTAATTTTAATTACAAGTACATTGAGAAAAAATATCTTTTGCAGAATTGTATGTAAATCTTGTCTTTTGTTTTTCTTTGTTGAATTTTCTTGTATTTATTATATTATATGTTTGCAAGTTTAATCTGTATCTGCCGCGTAACAGCCAATGAAGCTGTTATGGAAATAAATGTAAATACACCAACACCAGGCCACATACATACTGAAATGAAAGCGAATGTAATTCCGTGTTTAAAAGAAGCTTGATGTCAGCAGTGGCATGACTTGGGAAATGTGCACATGTGTATGTGTGTCTGGGTGCTTAAACATCTCTGGTTTCAATTACAGATCACATGATCTTCCTTGCCTGTGTTGCCTTTTGCCCACGAAACCTTGGCTGCTTTCTTGAAGCCCTCCTCTCTCTCTCTCTTAAAAAAGACAAATACGCAGCGCATGATGCTTTAACTCCAGGGCCCCATCGCACAGACTTCCAACTGTTCCTGTATGAAAGAAGCTGTTGTGCCAGTAAAGGAGCTCGCCAGTTGAGTCCTCTGGGCCCTTTAGAGTTTGATGAGCATATGACCACCATTGCAACAGCTACCGCGATGAAAAAACCTCCCCATGATCCCCTGCTCAGAGCACAGAGGCAGCCAAGAGTCGGCGGAAACTGTAACATATCTTTTACTGTATAAACGAGAAAATGGATGGGAGAGACAAAAAAACTGAGAGAGCAGAGTGTCATTTAGAGACATCCTGGATCGTCTTGTAATGAATGAGAGCTGCTTTGATAAAACAATAATAATAATAATAATTTTTTGGTAACACTTAGGGACCAATTCTCACTATTAAGTAGTTGCTTATTAGCATGCCCATTCCCATTTCCACTAATTTTCAAATTCCAGAAGTCCTTCAAATTCAAAATATTTTGTAAATATATCTGTAGGTAAATATTGCAGTTTATTATTGTTATTATTATTATTATTAGGCATTAATATATTAGTGCATATACAGTAAATTAAATGTCATTTTTAATGCATTATTTTTATATATATTCAGGGTTCCCACACTTTCATGAACACCAGATTCAGCAAGGCACTGTAGTCATGGTTATCGTTTATTGACCTTATTATCGTCTCGTCTTCGTCTCGTCTTAGGCCCTGTCCACACGAAAGCGGTTATTTTTAAAACTGCAGCTTTTATTATGAGGTTTGGTCGTTCGTCCACACGCAAACGCATAGCATGCGGTTGCGTGTTCATGTGGACAGAGATTTTTTTTTTAAACGGAAGAAGGAAAAACTCAGTTTATAAAAATACACGTGTACGTGTGTACATGGCCTTATTTGAACTAAAACAGACAAGTAAATAGTAAATAATCAAATAAGAACAAATAAATTAATGACAATCAATAGCACAAACAAAAACAAAAACAAGAAATGTTTTCAGTTAGGTCTAACTATAATCTATACTCAACTGTAAAATAACACTGGATAGTCTTCACTGTATAATGAAAGGCAGCAGCAGGTTTATTTAGGCTGCTGTCTCTTTAAGACCTCATGCACGG